ACAAAGAACGATATATTATATGATTCCATTTATATGAAAAGTCCAGAATAGGCAAATCTGAAGAAACAGAAAATAAATCAGTAGTTCCCAGTAGCTGGCAAGGGGGGCAGGGGACAGGAGAAAATTGTGTGCTGATGGCCAGGGGGCTCACAGTTTCTTTTGTGAAGAATAAAAACATTCTACAATTGATTGTGGTGATGGTCACACAACTCTGACTACACTAAAAGCCACTGAATTGTATACATTAAATGAATGAAGTGAAAAGTAGGTAAACTGTATCTCAATGAAGCTGTTAAGAATATTTTAGAAAAAAGAATATTAAAAACAGACAATGTAAAAATTAAAAAGAAAGCAGCAGTGGCTGGCTGCATTAATACCAAACAACACATATTTCAGAAATAAAGAATATCACCAGGGATAAAGAAGAACCTTCCATAATTACAAATGGGTCCTTTCGTCAAGAAGATACAACAATGCTTAATGTATATGCATCCAATAAGAGAGCTTCAAAATACACATAGCAAAAACTGAAAGAACAGAAAGAAGACATATGCAAAGCCAGTTATAATAGGCAACTTCAACACTCCTCTGTCAACAAATAACAAATACAAAATCATAAGGATAGAGAAAACCTGCACAACACCAAGTATATCTAAATGACAGTTAAAGAATGCTCTCCTCAATAACAATATATATTATTTTGAAGTGTGTATGTAATTTTCACCAAAACAGACCATATGCTGGGGCGTAAAACAAGTCTCAAAATACATAAAAGGTTGCAATCATACGTTTTACATTTATGAACACAATGAAGTGAAATTACAAATCAATTTTGATAAATCTGGAAAATCCCCTAATATTTAGAAATTAACCAGAGAACTTCTAAGTAAGTTGGTGAAATAAATTCTAAAAATTACAAAAGAAATTAGAAAATGTTTGAAATAAATGTAAAAAAAACCCACAACATCAGAAAACATGTAAGATACAGTCAGAACACTGCTTAGAGAGAAATGTACAGCTTTATATGGCTACATTAGAAAACAGAACCAAAATCAATGCCCTAGGCCTCCACCTAATAAAGCTAAAAAAAGAGCAAATTATTTACAATAGCCAAGACATGGAAGCAACCCAAGTGTCCATCAAGGGATAAATGGATAAAGAAAATATGAGATATATATTATGAGATATATATATATATATATATATAAAACTGAATCACTTTGATGTACACTTGAAACTAACACAACATTGTAAATCAACTATACTTCAATTTGTAAGAGCAAATTAAACCCCAAGTAAGCAGGAGAAAGGAAATACTAAAGATACCAGCGAAAATCAGTAAAATAGAAAAACAAGGAAAAAAAACTCAATAAAACCTAAGTTACTATTTTCAAAAAAATCATAAAATTGACAAACCTCTAGCCAAAATAATCAGAGAGACAGAGACAGAAACAAAGAGAGAAAAGACAAATTATCAACATAAGCAATGAAAGAGAAAGTATCACTATAGATCCTATACTGTTAAAATAATACAGGAATATCATGAATAACTTTTGTTAAGGAATTCAAAAACTTGGATGACATGGACAAATTATTTGAAAGATACAAATAAGCAAAATTTACTCAAGAAACACAAAATGCAAGCAGCCGTGTATTTATTTTTAAAATTAAATTTTTAGTTAACAACTTTCTCACCAAAAACAAACAAATCTCCAAGGCCAAGTGGTTTCACTGTTAGATTCTACCAAATATTTAAGGAAGGTAATTGCCAACACTACACAAATTCTTCTGGAAAACCAAAGAGGGAAAACTTTCCAAGTTATTCACAAGGCCAGCATTAATCTGATACCAAAAACAAAGATATTACAAAAAAGAAAACTACAGACAAGTATTTCTCATGAACATAGATATAAAACTCCTCAACAAAATTTTAGCAAATCAAATACCACATCATATTAAAAAGGATAATTTACCATGACCAAGTGGGATTTATTCCATGAATGCAAGTTTGGTTTAACATTCAATACAATTTATCATATTAATAAACTAAAAAAGAAATTTAAAAAAAACATATGATCATCTCACTGACATAGAAAAAGCATTTGACAAAAACTATATTCATTCCTGATAGAAACTTTCAACAACTAGAAATAGAAGGGAACTTCTTCAGCCTTCTAAATGGCATGTACAAAAAGACTATATCTAACATATATGACTTAATGGTTAAATGCTTTCCCCCTAAGATCAGGAACAGGGCAAAGATATCTACTCTCACTACTTCTGTTCAACATTGTACTGGAGGCTCTAGCCAGTTCAATAAAACAAGAAAAACAAACCAAAAAGAAAGCATCCCAATTGGAAAGAAAGAAATATACCTGTCTTTATTTGTAGACAAGATAATCAGCTACATAGAAAATCCAATGGAATACACAAAAATGCTACTAGAATTAGTAAGTGATTTAGTAAGGTTGCAGAATACAAGATAAATATACAAATTTAATAGTATACTAGTAATTAATGACTGAAAATTAAAAAGCAATAGCATTTATTTATTTAATTTTTTTGGCTGCACCACTGCAGCATGTGAGATCTTAGTTCCCTGAACAGAATTCAAACACATGCCCCCTGCATTGGAAGGGTAGAGTCTTAACCACTGGGCCACCAGGGAAGCCCCAGCAATACCATTTAAAATAAGCATCAAAAAATACAAAATAATAGGGATAAATATGACAAAAGATATGTAAGACTTATTCACTAAAAACTAAAAACATTGCTGAAAAAAATTAAAGAAGACCTAAATAAATGAAAGCATTCATACTGGTGGGTGATGAGGGGTAACATGGACCAGCATGGGATACAAGAGACCTAGTGAGGTAAGACTGTCTGTATAGGAAGGCAGCATTGCATGGAATGTCAGAGCCAAAGAGGGATGAGGAGGGCATTCAGGGAAGACAGAAGCATAACACAGGGTATTAGAGCCCAACTAGAGTAAGGAGGATACAATATAGGAGGGCAACTCAGTGTGCAGTGTTGATACAGCTCAAAGGAGCCCAAGACATATAAACCTACTCTTTGTGCCAGAAAAAGGCTGAGCTAGAAATACTGGTGAACAGTACTTATGATAGCCACTCAAATTAAGAGGAGAAATGTAGGTTGTTCATATAATGGGACTACTATACAGCAATTAAAATAAGTGAACTAGATCTCTATACATAAATTTAAAAGCTCTCCACCAGTACGTAAGCCCCAGAACAGCAGATATTTTTGTCTATTTTGTTCAGAGTTATATTCCCAGCACTAAGAGCAATGCCTAACAACACAGTAAGTACTCAGTTCATTTTTATTGAATGAATGATTCTCAAAAAAACAAGGACTGAGAACTATTCATGTAAATGTTTCTAAAAACACAAAATACAACATATGATTTATGGGTATTAAAAACATGGACTAGAAGGACACACCAAATTTATGATACTAGTTTCCCCAACGGAGTAGGGAAAGGGATAGGACTGAGGAAGGGGATATGAGTTTTATCTATAATTTTTTAAAATGTACATTTTACCTCTTTCTGTCCATATGTGTTTATATATATGTCATAAATATTTACATATATATGAATCAAAACTGGCATTGTTGCTATCTGTTAATTCAGAGAAGTTGATACTGAAGCTTTTTTTTAATCTCTGTAATTTTCTATAATTTTAGAACTTCACAAAAAGGTTATCAGGGAAATAATATTACTTTCTATCTCACTGAACAGAATTTCTCATACTGTTCAACCTATGTTCTCTTATATGAATGTATCCTCCCAGGGAGAAGGCAGTCTGGGAAATAATCTTAAGAAATTCAAAAAATATTGATGCCTCATGCTTTAACTTTAAAATTCTTGAGAATTTATCATTTTTATTCACAATATTTTTAATCTTATTTCAGTATTAAATACATTTTAATTCCATACTTTTTCCCTCAAAACTAGGTAAAATTAACATTCCAGGAAGACGTGTCCTGTTTATCTTATAGCTTCACATACCCCCATCATACCACAGGGTACTCCAGGGCAGAGAGGGTGGAGATGCTTACTCTAGTTTGGGAAGAAGAGCCAAAGAGTCACTATCAAGTTTCCTGTGGAATAAAACCAGATGAAAATAACACACAGGAAAAGACTCCTCTGAACTTAACCTTGACCTTGCCCCTTGTGATGGTTAATTTTATATATCAACTTGGTTAGGCCATAGTACCCAGAGATTTGGTCAAATATTATTCTGGATATTTCTGTGAAATTATTTTTTTACATGAGATTATTAGCACTTAAATCAGTAGACTGAGTAAAGATGAACATTCTCCATAATGTGGGTGGGCCTCGTTAAATCAGTTAAAGGCCTTGATAGGAAAAAGACTAAACTCCCCAGAGGAAGATGGAATTCTGCCAGCAGATTGCCTTCAGACTGAGGCAACAATATTTACTCTTCCCTGACACTAGCCTATCAGCCTACTATGCAGATTTGGACCTCCATAATCATGGGAACCAATTTGCTAAAAAAAATCACTCTCTCTCTCTCTCTCTCTCTCTGCACACACACACACAAACACACACACACACACACACACACACACACCCCACTGGTTCTATTTCAACGGAGAACCCTGACTGATCCACCCCAGCAAAACCAGTAACTATTTTTTCTACTATAATACTAAACCGAAGCATGTTTCTCAAATTAACTATCACTAAAACAGTTACATGCTTTTCCCCTAAAAAGCTGGGTCTTCTAAAAATCAAACTACGTGTAGTGTTTTTTATTAAACATAATACATGACAAAATACATCAGCATATGTAAATAACTCTCAGGATGAATCAATAGATATACAAAAGGCAAGAGAAGATGTTATATGGACTTAATTATTTTTTGAAAGGTTATGCTAAATATGGACTTTTAAAAAAATTCTAAATAACAGAAATTTTAGATAATACAAAGTATTCAACAAAAAAATATCTTACCTTTTAGTTTTCATCTGGTCCCTCAGTTTGCTATACATCTCCAGGACTTGAAAGAGAAGGGGAGAAAGAGCACACAAGCATTATTTAGAGAAAGTGAAAAGACTAATTCAAGCTAAAGGAATTGCATCAAGAATTCTACTCTATTTCCAGTTCCTCACCTGGAAGACACAGCATTAATTTATCAACAGTGGCAGAAATATTTCTCTGTTGTAGTCGACACTGCTTCAGCTCTTCCATTGCTATTACCAGCTTAGCAAGAGGGAAAAAAACTGAATTATGCCAACAGCTGTAAATAAAAAGCTTTCAGTCACATTTTTCCACCCTATGTTCAATTCATCAGAAAATCCCAGACAGTTTCATAGTAAGACCTGCCAAGTGGACTACGGAACTGCCTTTCTCAACCAGTAAAACATCCCTGTATGGTTTCCTACTTTCTCCCCAAGATGCATACATACTACATTAGAAAAGGCTAGGTGAAATGAAATCTTAAAATTCAGGGGCTATCCAGGAGAAAAGAAAAAGCGTGCATATTTGCTCCACACCCTATTCAGACTTCATGATTTATATTTCATCAATCTTCTAAGAAGATCCTATATTTCTGTCATCAGTGCTAGACTCCTAGAGGAAAACAGTCCTTCCTATACAGCTTCAAATGAATCTTGAAAATATCTGCAACTAAATCTGTATTTCAACAAATAAACCACACAGTTAGAAGCTGTGGCTTTTCCAAGAGTTCCAGTTTAATGAAGAGTAACTCACTTTTCTTCTCACAGCATTTTAAAGTCTTCCATCTGAAGTCATACCACAATAAAACCAGAAGAAACTGCATTCTTTGCAAAAACTTAAAATATGTGAGACAAACTTTTAAAAAGCAATAACTACATGACCTCTTATAGTATTTATCCCATACCCTTTTCTAAAAGTTATCTACTTAGATACTACGCAAAAAAGAAAAAAGGGAATGGTCCTGATTAAGTTACTGATAAGACAATCAAAGGCTAATCTTAAAGATTATTAAAATTAAACATTAAGTATTAGGCAATGAGGAAGGTATATGATACAGAGAACGGTAATAGACTGTAAGTCAGAAAACTTGGGTTTTAGTCCCAGCCTTCCAATTACTATGTAAACTTTAGCAAATCATCTGTTTTAGTTTCCTAATCAATAAAATAGTGATAATACCAGTCCTGACCTTGTCGTAGGTCTGTCATGAGGATTAAGTGAGGAAATGGATGTAAAATAATCTTATAAACTATGATGATTTAAATGGTGAGTATATCAATTAACAGAATCAAAGATTCTTTTTTTTTAACAAATACTTATGCATATTCATGCTGTGTCAGTCACTGTTTAGGCAGGTAGAGGGGATATGGCAATGCAGTTAAAAATAAAAAAAAAATCCTGACCTCATGGAGCTTAATTTCTAATGGAAAGAGACAAACAAAAAACAAACATATAAGGAAAACTGTATAATACCAAAGCATGATAGGTGCAATGGAGAAAAGGAAAGCAGGAAAGATAAAAAGAATACAAGGCATGAAAGTGAGACTGCAATTCTAAATAAGGTGGTTAGAAAAGGCCTCATGAAGGAGGTAACATGTGAGGAGCAAAAGTCTGAAGTAGGTAAACATTTGGGAAAGAACATTCCAGGCAGAGGAAACAGCATTGGCCATCTTATGACTACTCAAGTGATTTAAAAACACAGCTAAGGAAGGCGGCTACATACTCTCATTAAGCTTTCTAGTGCCATATTCATTTACTTCAGATAAACATTAGGAGAAGCAATGATAATGTCCAAGTTCCTCCAACATGCTGCTTATGGTCTTACAAGCCACTAAATCAAGAACACAGTTATTAAAGAGAATGACAGGAAACAGAAAAGATTTTTTCAAAAGGTAAACTGGCCTTACTTCCTTTCCCTCATGTTGTAGTTTTCTATTAGTATCCGTCACTTGATTCTGTGGAGAGAAGACAATTTAAACTCATAAAAAACACTTAGATAATAGTTGGATAAGATCAAAATTTTAAATGAAAAGACTAAGAATAGGTATTCAGATTGTTTCCATATTCCACCACATTTTGGTTTAGTGGTGTTCTCTTGGGATGAAATTATATCAACTTTTCTACTGAACATTTGTATGACCTTTGGAACAATAAAAAAAATTACTAAAAAATATGTTCAGTTTGAAATATTACAAACTAAAATAACATAACTAAAGATCACACTTTCATTTGGAAAGGAAAGAAAAAATAGAAAAAATAACCCACAAAGAACCTTACCATCTCTACTATGTGTACAAAGAACAAATTTTTTTATAGATAGTCGTCACTTCACCAATGTATTCCTGGAAAACTTGAGTATAAATTGAACTTTTTAACTCAGGTCAAATATTTCTACTTATCTAATTTTAGAAAACCTTTTGTCTTAATTTTTTGGATCATTAATTCTTAATAGTTTCTAACACTTCCACATTCCCATTTTTCTAAATTAATCTCTCCATCAGACAGTCAAAATCAGGTGAACAAGCTTTAAAATTAGCTACAGTTCATAATTTAAAGGAACTGGCACCACTTATTTTGGTAGCCACTTTTGAAGAATCAACTGATATAAAAAAATTAAGTATATAGAATAGTAATTTCCTCACTTTCTTAAACATTACCAAAACATGAGCAACATTAACTTCTAAAGCTTTCTTTAATAGAAGCTTTCCATACTTCCACCAATAACTGCGACTCCTTAACGCTTTTAAGACACTACCTTAACCCAGCATTTCCTATTATGTCTCTTGGAACACCAAGAAATGGTAGTTAAAAGATACTCTGCACTCTGTACATACACACACACACACACACACACACACACACACACACACACATATCAATATGTATGGGAAATACCACTAAACAGGTTAGTTTATTCAGGACTTCCTGAAGCCCAAGGAGATATCATACAGTGTTTTCCAACTTATTTTTTGTAACATCCTTTTATTGAGGATCATCTTAAGAAACTAGTTTTTCAGGAACACACCTTTGAAAACTTTGCCCTAAACTATACACTATACACTATACCTGGACTATCACTTTCTGAGCAGATTACCACATGCACTGCCATTGTAGCAAAAATGCAGCCATAAACATAACATAAATGAATGGGCATTGCTGTGTTCCAATAAAACTTTATTACAAAATTAGGAGGCAAGCTGGATTTGGCCTGCAAGATATAGCTTGCTGATCCTTGGTCTAGAATAAGTGAGACTGAAAAGTTTATTATTCAAACCAATAAATGAATGTTATTCAAAAATGGGATTAATATCAGCTCAGTACAAGAAAAAGCTTTTAAGCGATGTGAATAAAAATGGGGTGGGTTGCCTTGAGTGATCATTGTTCAAGAAAAATTAGATTTTTTTTCACATAAACAGATTTCAGAAAATTCAACCTTCCATAAATACTACTAAATTCAGCATTGCTGTTTCTACTAAAATAACTTGTTTACCATTTCTGAAATTTTTTTTACCTCAAACTCATTGTAAGAAATATATTTTACATTGCAACCCAGTACACAAGTATAGGGAATGCAGATGCGCACACACACACACACACAAAGAAACAAAATTTTTAAGAAACAATGTTTGGACTTACTACATGTAATACACTTCGTTGCTTCCTTTTTTATTCTATTTCAATTTTTATTAAAAATACTGATCATGGCCCACTAAATTGATTTCATGCAAACCAGAGTTCTAAAACATTCATAGGAGCCTAACCAAAGCTTCTGATAAGAAAGGTAATTACTATTTCAATACTATTTGAACATAACAATGGGAGGAAATCTATACTGCCTGTCTAGGATGCTACTTGTTGATTCAGAGAACATATATATGTATGTGTGTATATATACGCACACACGTACCAACATACATACTGTGAATCAAAAGAAATAATGGACATTCTAGAGAGAGTAGGATTTTTCATTGTTATGTTCAAATAGTACTGACAGTAAGTAATACTTAACCTTTTCCATTTTCTAAACTCTTTTCTCAAGTTCAAGAATTTCTAAGTTCCATAGGCTCTTAACACAGGTTGAATGGATGCCCCCTAGAGCAGAGTCTCCCAGGTGTTAATGGTGAGCATTATGGGCAATATTCAGGTACTTAACCACATGACTACTTCAGTAACCAGACACAGGGCACCTCGTTGCCCATCATGGACAAAGGGCCCAAGGAGCAGAGGGAGAGGTTTTGGAATACAGGCATCAAGAACAGCCCAAGGTGAAGATGGATGGGAAGCTGGGATGGCTGAGTGAGGACAAACAGCACACACAGCTCCTGGCAGAAGCCCCGTATCTTTGTTTTCACATATTTCAGATACTTCTGTCCATTTGACGCTTTTCAGCTCCCCAAAACTCAGTATAACTTTTTAAATGGAATCAAATTGTTCATACTTTTTAATTTGCTTTATACATTAAGCAAACATTTCTAATGCTTTCCCATGTCAGATATCCTTCTACAATATATTGTAGTTTATTACTCTTTTAAATGGATATACCATGATTTATTTTACTAATCCTCTAGTACATCACTTTCAGGGACATCTTAAAGTTTTAGCCATTAAAAAAAAACACATGAACATCTCTGTACATGCACCTGTAGCTGTAGAATAAATCTTAAAACTATGTGGAGTTTTCAGTATTGATAAATAAAATTGTTCTCCTTAAAAGTTGTAACAGTCTACACTCCAACCAGGCATTCCCAGGTTGATAGGTATCATCTCCAATCTTAATATTTGTTTCATCTTTGTCATTTTATTAGGTGGCACTTTATTGTTTAAATTTGCATTCCTTTAATTCTAAATTGTAGAGTTCCCTTATATTTCTTCTTATGTAAACTGTATATTAACATGTATTTCTCAGTTTTCTATTAGAGTGTTCATATTTTTCCTATTAATTTGTAGACTTTTTCTATGTTAGGATATCAATCATTTGTCATGTGTATTTGTAAATATTTTTATTTATTATTTACCTTTACATTTTTAACTTCTACGTAGAAAGTTCTTTCATTTTAATGTTGTCATACCTATCAATATTTTCTTTCTGGCTTAGGAACTGTGTTTAGAAATGTATCCCTCACTCCTAAAAATCACATAAATATTCATCTATATTTTCTACTAGTTCCTTTATGGTTTTTTTACATTTAACTCTTTAGTTCATCTGAAATTAAATTTGGTACACTGACTGAGAAAGGAATCTAAGTTAATTTCAATTAAAATAGTTAAGCATTAAAGAACATTAACAACAAATCAGAAGAGTTGTTACTTTTGGAGGGGAGGGTGGAGAGAGTCACTGAGAAGGATAAAAAAGAGAGATTTAATTTTGTTGGCAATATTATATTTCTTATGATGATTGGATAGTTGTTGTACAGGTCCATAAACTCTTATCTGAAACCTTGGGACCCAATGTGTTTTGGACTTCAAAATTTTGGAAATTTTATAAAGATAATATGGTATATATTGTTTATTATGTAACAATGGGCACTAGGACAGCATCCCATAATCAAATACAGTAATATTTCTGTATCAAAGTCAGTTACCCAAGATATGTGAATTTGCTATGCCAGGGACAAAACCAATATAGCTAGCCTCTTTCCTGAACTTAAATCTGTCATATCAAGAAAGAACCTTCATGCTTTGGTAGAAGACATTCCCCAACTAACACTAATTTTATTTTTCCTTTGGCTCAGATTGCCTTGCTGCAAAGACTTCTACAGCCATGCCTTGCAATTCTGTCATCCAATAGTGATGGCTTTCATCTAGCAAGGAAGCAGACAGATGACATGAAGAGTCAACCGAGTTTCTGTTTGAAAGAAACTGATTCTTGTCATTGGTTCTCATCCACACATAGTTATCCCAAATAAATTTTAACTTAAAACAGTATCCTTTCCAGCTAAAAGCCATAATCCCAGTTATCTATGTTGCAGTATAAACTCCTTTCTTACTATTCAAAAATTTTTAGTACAAATATGTCACCTGCAATGTATTCCCCACTCTTTTAATGTTCATCAAAACCCCAAGACAGAGAGAAACAAGTCTTAGAGTCTCCTTACTTTGAGTTTCTGGGCTTCTCCTCTTACTTTCAGCAGTTCCGTTATAGAGTCCACAAAGCCCTGGTAATGAAAGTTGCACATTTTCTCAATTTCTCGGTCATGATTGCGGATGCGAGTTTCAAGCTTCTCCATGAATCGTCCATGTTCCTCACCATCATAGACAGACCTTTTTAAAAAATGGCATGGAGATTATACCACATTTACATCTAAGAAAGAGAAACAGAATTACAAACCCAGAAGCAAATTTATTTGGAAATCAGGTATTTAAGTTACATAAACCACAGAGTAATCCAATTGTATTAATGTTGCCCCAATGCTAGATGAGTATTTTTTTTAGGAAAATCCAAAATTTTGTTTCCTTATTTACTGAAAAATATGTAAGTGTTTGACAGTATTCATCACAGAATTCTCATCATAAAATGAAAGGACTGAATTACAATTCCTCCGTACCTTTCTTTCTCAATTAAACTAATCTAGAAAAACTTAATTTTGGATAAACCCAACTATACATTTACTCCAAGATTGTACCCAAGAATCTGACGCTGCTGGAGAGAAATCACGTAGCTGTGCTGCTAGACTCAGTTTAGCTATCTTACGACAAATTTAAATTGGGCAGCCAGACACCACTAGTTAAAAATAATGAAATTATCCCGCCAAATACCACCACCAAAAAATCACTTTGTAGTCTCCAAAATGTGTGAAAACCTTACTTCTCCTCTCCTCAAATGTCTACCCTCTCTCTGGCTCTCAGTTGCACTTCACAGGAAAAAAAACAATTCCTCTCCTCAACCAACCTACTTACATCTGAAACTCCTATTCTGTCCACCCTCCTATAACAATGGAAAAAGTATTTCAAGCTCTTATCTACAGTCATTCTTGTTGTCTCTAAGAACTTTACTCCTGCAGTTATTCCCTTTTATCCCTATCCCATATTATATATTTCTCCCACTCCACTAAGTCATTCTCATGGCTATTTAAACATGACTTTAAGAAACCTGCCCTTACCTACACATTTCCCTCCAGCTACCATCTCATTTCTCTGCTCCCCTTCCCAGCAAAACTTCTTTCTACTTCCTCAGCCCCCATTAGTTAGCATCCATCCTACTGTACCTAAAGGCAGCATTTGCTATGGTTTAAATATACCTTCCTTCTTGAAACACCGTTTTCTCTAGACTTCAATGATACCACACTAAGTGATTTTCATCCTTTTACTGACATGCCTTCTCAATCTCTGTCCTGGGCTCCTCCTCCTCTATTCTTTTTCTAAATATTCGTAAAAGCTCTTCTCTTCCCTACCTATGCCCTCTCACCAAGAAATGCCAGCTAATCCCATGTCTTTATAATACTATCTATTACAGTGGTAGACTTCCTAATCTATACCCTCAATTCTGAGCACTAGACTCAAATACCCAGCTATAATTTAACAACTCCAATTGGATTTTTAAAAGCCATCTCAAATTTTAACATAGAAAAACAAAAAAACCATCTATCACCAAACTATCTCCACTCCCAAACCTGATGCTCCCCACCACTCAGCTACCCCATCTCGGCTAATGGCACTATCCAGTTGCCCAAGTCAAAAATGCAAATCCAGGAATCACTCCTCATGTACCTCTTTCCATCATACACCCCATCCAATCCATTAGTAAGTCCTGACAACTCAACCTCCAAAACATATCTTAAAATTGACCACCATCCCTCCATTTCCACTAAAACCCTAGTCTAAACCTGTATCATTGGCACACTGGATCAATGCAATAGCCTCCTAAAAGTCTCCATTCTGCAGTCTTCATCCCCTCTACTCCCTGTCCCAATGCAGATACTCTCCACACAGCAGTAAAAATGGTCTTTATGAAGCAATAGTTCAGATGTAGCCTCCTGCTTAAATCGCTCCAATTCCTTCTCTTTACAAAAGGAATAAAAATCACAAATCCTTACCACAGCCTATAACATACCACATAATCTAACCTCTGATCAGCTCTCTAACCTTGCTTCTCTCTAGGTCCCACCCCCTAGCCTTGCCTTCCTCCATCCTCTATGCTCCTGCTACAGAGGATTTTTTTTTTAGCCTCTTCCTGCCTCAAGAATTTTGTTTTTGCTGTTCTTAGGCTAGTAACACTCACCCCCTATATCTTCAAGCAACTTTCTCCTTCGCATCATCCATAGTTTGTTATCTATCTTCCCCCCAACCCATCCCAATTAGATTGTAAACTCCGGGGCAAGAACTTTGTCTGCCAATTCACCACTGTACCTCTACAACAGTGCCAGACAGGTAATAGGCAGTGAGTAAACGTTCATTGAGTAAATGAATAACATTATCTCTAAGAACACTTTGATCTCTGACATTTATTCAACAAATATACATTTGCTCATTACCAACATTTTCTGGTTCTATAATCATTTGTAGGTACCAGATCACCACCCTGGTCCTGTGGATAAGAGAGCACCCACTCCTCAGCAGATCACTTCCACTACCCAGAACTCAAGCAGTAACCATAGAAAATATATATACAAGTTTGGATTCCGGTAAGAATTCTGAACACTTACTTCAGAAAAACCAGAGCAATCCAGATTCATTCTCCTTCATTTCAAATAAAGGGACAAGATCTTCAAATAAATTATAAACAATCCCGGCTTTGACAACTAAGACATACTATAGCATAACCACTTGCCTAAAAGAGCTATTGGGAAACACAAGACAGAATCTACTATTGACATTTCAACTAACCTCAAAAAAAGCATAACTTTTCCCCTTCCAAAGGAAAGGAAAAGAAAGATTTCCATGTAAAGGCACCAGTATTCCTTGCCATTTGAAGAAGAGGAATAACCACGGAAAATTCATCAGTCTAAATGGCATAAGAAGATTATTATTCAATACTGAGACAAGCCTCTTGGTTTCAAATTCAGTTATATCTTGACCCATTAATACTTTTAAGTTAGGTAGTAAGTATACTTCCTTCTACAATGTAAAACTTTTTATTTTTCTCCCTCCAAAGATCTACATTAATATGACAAAAGATAACCTCAAGGAGAAGAAAATCTCATAGTTAAGAAATTCATAATTTATCCTAGCTCCCTGAACTTTCTATTAAAAAAAAGTATAAATCAAAGAAAGGAAGAGTGGATTTTTGCTGCCTGACTGCATGGCCTTGGTGTTTAGCAATGTAATTAACTAGCTATGAGTCTTTGGTCAATTCAGTTAATCTCTCTCACCCTCAGCTTTCTCATTAGAAAATAGGAAGCAATCAATTAGAAATCCTCTTTAGCATCAGCCTAGCTCTAAATTTCTGCAATTCACTTCCACTTTCAAGTCCAGTCAGCAATAATGTAAAGATCATACATTTTTCAGAACAGTGTAAAGAGGTAGTTCAAAACAAGTTAATGAATTTTCTACATCCTTATCACTAGGCCCCACCTGTTTCTCCTATTTTAGGGCCTTTATGATTCTAATATTCTCTTCAATTATAATAATGTTGAATAACATGAAAGATTTATAGTGAATCTCCTGAATATCTTGAGAATTTTAAAAGTTAGAATAAAATGTAAAACCCACACATCTAAAACAGGAGTTTTGGACTATATTTAATTAACCTGTGTTCCATGAGTATGCATCTGGAAAACCACAATTTCCAGATTTTATGTGTATAAGCAGAAGCACATTTTTAAGGGAAACATCCACAGTTTTCATCTGGTTATCAAAGGGTTAAAAACCACTGATTTAAAGGTTTTGTTTCAAACTGCCTAACAGGAAAAGGCAACTATAATTAGTACCTAACAGTTCAACTCGCATCAGCATTTCACCTGTATCTCAGACTTAGTGCTAACCAGCTATCAGATATAAAATGCTAAAAACAAAAATAAACAAGGCTTAAATTCTGGAAAAGTCATAGATCTCCTGAAATTAACCTAATATTGGTAATCAACATTGCACCTGAACAGTTATCTCCCTCCCCCACAATAAATGGATTAAACTGGAGAAAGACTGCCATCTAGTGATGGCCCATTTCTAACATGCTTTGAAACTTAAATTTGATGTGACCAAGCAAAGAGAGGCTGCTTAAAAATCTAAAAACTATATTCTATAATACTTGCTAGCCAAAGTCTTATAACTTGTTATTAAATGATATTTTATATAAAGTACTCTAATGTTTAAACATCCGTTTCTAATAGGAAGCAGGATCTTGAAAACAAAGTCATATGCTTTTGACATGTGTGCCATAGGTATGTCACAATTAAACAAGACTACAAAATAAACTGCACCACTCGTTTAATTATTTGTGATAATCCAAAGAATATTCTGGTACCTAGTGAAATGTAAACAATAAGATATGTTTGGAAACTAGCAACTTTTAATAGCCTAAATTTTTACTCAACTACATAAATGCTGCCTTGTGGAGTCTAATTTCCAAAAAATCCCAAGTAAACCACGGGTTTTTGCAAAAAGTAAAATGTTTTACCCTAGTGTCCATATCTGACACATACTTCTAAACATTCCACCTAGATTAAGAGAGAGATTTTAATTTATAAAACACTTCAGGAATTCTATTCAACAAAAATATTTATGATTCCCAAGTACTGAATCATTACAGGATTATATCACTTGCAAGAACTTAACATCAGCTCCAATCTGTCAAAAGAGAAAATAAATAAATAATGTAATGAGCATGTGTTATCTCATTTAAATCCTAGGCACCTTATAAATTAGACATTATTCCCATTTTATAACTGAGGAACTTAAAACCCAAGAAGATGAAGTAACTTGCCAAATCCACACAGCTAGAAAGTGTTCTCTGTAGTACATCAGTCTGTCTCCTTTTAGAGCAAAGGAAAGTAAGAAAGTCACATGGACCCCTAAAACATTAGAGTTGAAAGAGGTCTCGGGGATGGAATACAAAGCTTTTATTGTACAATGGAGGAAACTGAAGCCAAGAAAAGTTAAATGCCTTAATCAAAATTATATTGCTTGTTACTGATACACCTGGGCCTGACTCCCAAAGAAAACAGGAAAAACTAATGCAATATGAAGCCTGACACAAAGCTAAGTGGTTTTTTAAAAGACACACACACACACACACACACACACACTTTATGATGAGTTTGCTGCCTATTAGTTGTGCCTACACAACAGCTATTCCTTTCTTCCTGCTGGAAGAGTTCCAATTTGTT